GAGAACCTGCTGCATTAGCATGCGTAGTTAGAATGTTTCCCCAAGAAAAACCGCGCATGCGCATTGCTCACTCGACGACAAACAGTCTACCTGTGGCAGAGAGCTGCAAAACTCAGTGATCAAGTCGTTACAATTGCTGTATGAAACAAGAAGTAACCTAAACTTTAGTGTACTTAATACTATCGATAAATAAACTTATAATGTTATTCTACGACCTAACGTCAAACCTTTTTTAAAAACTTTGATAAGTTTTTAATATTCTGTTGTACAAAATGGTTAGTAAAGTATATTTACATTCCCTTTTTTCCTAACTAAACTAAAGTAAAAAACAACGTTCACAAGTTACAATGGTAATTTATTTCTTTATCGAACTTAGGTTTAACCTAAGTTAAAGTTTTATAAAGTACGGCCTATATACAAGTAGATTTACACATTTCGTTGTCTACGATTACAATTCGTTTGTATTGTGCTAGAAATGTTATATTTAATGAAGTACTGTTACGATAAAGATACTAATTTGGCCGGAAATTTTTTGCGAGTCTCTGCTAGTAACCTAATATTGTTGTTAGTCAGTGTACTGAAAGTATAAAATGAAATACATAAAGAACAAAACTGGAACAATATTTGTTGATTTCTTAACTTAGAGTTACGTTGATTCAAGAGGTTTGTTTTTTATTTAAAACGTTGGTGATATAATAGAAATTTATGTTTAAAATTGAAAGGATGTTGTTACTTTCATGATAAATGTTATACACTTGGCTCTAGGCTAGGAAATCCTACACTACGTCTTTACTTTAGGCTTATTACACCAACACCTATAAGATTTCACGCTCCCCCCTCACGGCCTCCTTGCACCCCCGTCACTAAGACCGTAATGGGCAGACAGTAGTCGAACTACTCTGTTTGGATAAATGCATTTTGGCTTTTATGACTCATCCTATTTCGAGAAATCGAACGTGACGTGACACACGCTGGCTTTTAAATATGTTAGATAATAATGGAAAATGGAACAAAGTTAAACACCAAGAAACTACACAGAAATGCGGAAAAAGTTTTCGTGGTGAGGATGTAAGAGCCGTCTAAGCTGTAAGTGTAGTTCTTGGTAAAAAGTAAGAAAAATAAGAAAGGGAAATATTGAGTTGTAGGTAAAGAAATAATTAAAATTACCCAAAACGACGAACTAAGAGACTGAGAATAACACTGAAAGAAAGAAAGGTAGAAAAAATAGTTATATTATTAAAATTTTACATCAAAAGAAAATAAAACGAACGATAAAAGAACTGATACCCTATTTTGTGTAATCAATTACTGACGTCAATTCTATAATGTCAACTAAAAAACATCTTAAAATTACAATATATATTTGGTCCCTAGTAAGCAAGAGGTCTTATAACGCTAAAAATCGGGGTTTCACGTGCAGGATAAGTTTAGCGTAGATAGCCTATTGTGTAGCTTTGTGCTTAGAAAAAAAAACTTTATCTTAGAATATACAACTGAATTTACTTATAAACTGTGTTCTTTGCCCGAATATTCTCTACGTTATTGTCTTGGATTTAGTGGTACAGACAAGAGCATTACACACAAGTATTGCATGATACTTTATATAGCTTCTACACGGAGAATCGGAGTTAATCAGTGTACAATAACCGAGTTTTCTGTAAATATATTAACTATATAAGTTTTGATAAGCAATGGTTTGCCTTCCGGGCTATTCCTCTGAGCTGGTCACGAGAAAATTGTTAACATAGAATGACACCGAACTAATTTAAACCTGGAAAGAACCTGCAAAAGGCTACAAAGCCACACATATACATATATATATCTAGTTCTACTAACCACTTTACAGAATTTATCACTTACAAAACTTGTAAACAATTTCATCCGTTTGAAAGATATTTTGCATGTACTGCCGATAATATGACTCACCTTAGAGAATGTTTTCAATAATGGTTCTTTGTCGACAGTTTCATAAGTGTTACAGGAGAGGAAAAATACTATTGAATATTGGATTACCAATATCTTACCCAATTTAAAGAAAACTTACAGTGTTTATATAGATTGAATATTACCAAAAGGTAGAAATTTTATGTTTCCACCAGTAAAGCATATACTTAGGATTTGTATAGCAGAGACGGCTGGTATGGGTATTAAAACCTGAAGATGACCTGAGAAGGTCGAAACGTTGTTCTTGTACTTTATTTTAATACCCACACCAGCCGTCCCTGCTATACATTTTTACTTCAAATGGGTTTCTCGTCATCGTGGAATACTTAGGGTTTGTCAAATCCAAACAAATATAATTATAAAAATATTCCATATACCTGGAGAGTTTGGACTCACTTTGATCAAACATTAAGCCGATGTAATATATACTTGAATTATATCCACCAATTGACAATTCTGGTTTTGCAATAAAAATTACAAGAGAAGACACTATAAAACTGTTCGATGTAGCTACATACACTATAAACTTTATAAGGCTGAACAGCGTCTTAATTCTTACCATACAAATTATGTGAACCAACTAGATTTATATTTCAGTTAGCAAATGTGTTTTCTTTATATATTTTTTTTAAAAGCTTAATTAAGTTAAATAAGCTCAAGTTTTCCTTTTGAACAATTATAGCCGCGATCATCAGCTTTGATCATCGCGGCTGTAATTGTTCAAAGACAAAACTATGTACTGATAGGTGGCTATTAACATCTATTACATGAAAAAGGTATTTTACTAACAAAACTTGCAAAATGTTCTATATCCTTTGATCAAAATAGATTTTTCTTTAAAAAAATACATTTTCACCTTTTACACAACCTAAGAATACCACTGAATATCAAATTAACCATTAGTGTAGTAACTTTAATTAACTGTTGATCATGATTATATTGTCTGCCATTTGAATTTCATTATACATCCAATACATTTTTATTACATACCTAAAATAACTGTTAGGTGGTTTTGGTTTTGATTTTCAAAATATGTGATTGTCACATTGAACTTTGAATTTATTTCACTAATTAGTTATTATCATTAACTTCTCTTAGCGATATTTTCGGCTGCAGTACAACAAATTTAGGTTTACGTACAAGTTGGAGATTGAATTTGGTGTTGTTACTCAATTAAATTCTGGTTTTAAACTTTTACATTTCAACAGCTTTCGAATGTTTTGGGTATTTTTGTTTAGTTTCTAAATGTATACTAATCTCATTAAACCTAAGATTCAGAAAGCACAGTGATAGACGCTAGTAAGTTACAAAATCGGTGCTATATACATCAAGTCGGAGATATGACATTAAACAAATCTCTCTATAATTCTGTTCTTATAGTGTAAGTTATAAAATTAAAAAACTGAGTGCCACGATATAAGATTAAAGACGTGTAATATGGTATATATTAGAATTAGAAAACGGATAACATTATAAATCATCAGAATGTATTCAGGTGAATTAAGAAAACAATGTTCGTGAGATTATCAGACGGTGTCATTCTTTAAGTTATTCCTTCTACAGCAAATTGAGGAATGTTATATTTTTATCTTTGTAGTTCTTACCCTTTGGAGTAGATTATCGTTAGGTGAACTTTAATGTTGGTGAGTTTTACATTTTTACACCATCGAATACTATGACTTGTTAAAATAACTATATCGTCGCTGACTTAGGGTAACCGTACTCAAAGTCTTACATGAGTTATAATAATATTATATGAGCTAACAAAAAAGCAGTTTAAGAAATTAAATAAAACACGAATTTTAAACATGATAATATTCCAATTAAAAGATTGAAGAACTAACTAAATCACTATCATTAAAATACACATTCTGATCCAGAGTATATGAGTAAACGAGCGAAAACTTATAATAAATATACTAACAAATTCAGAATAAAATAGGAAATAATTTATTTAAAAACTCCCAAAAACTTAAGTACTTTAACCTTCACCATCTTTGCTATACTTCCACAAAGCCACCTCCAGGAATGTTTTCACCTTAGCTTCCGCCCCCTGTTTTGGGGAAACTAAAACTTCTCTTGACTTTTCTCAACCTACTCTTTCCATCTTTTAACTCTACAACCTACTCTTACCTTAATTGCACATTAGCTATTCATTAGTGTGGCGACTAAAATGATCTTCATCTATGATCATTCCTATTATCTAAATCTCTACCGAGTGAAAAAACAAAACAAAGAAAAACAACTTAACCTTCAAATGTTAGTGGGTTTACGCAAACTTCAAAAATTTATATAAATTATTTTCTTTTGTATAAATAAAACACATTATTGCATTCGAAAGCTTCCATTGACATAAAAGAATAAAAGACAATTTCAATATTACAAGTTAATTATATAGAACGTTTCGCAGTTCAATGCATAATATTTTACAAGGTGAAACTGTACAAGTGTGTTAAGGTTATCGTGTGGATGCCAATTCTACAACTATCGGGAAAATATGTATACATTATGTTTTGAGAAGCTGCATTTATGTTTATTAATTAACTGCATGTTTTGTGTTTACCATTCAGATGATTACAATCGCTGCCCTACAACTCGACCTTTTCGTTGCCCTGGGAGACGTACTATTTGCATTTCGATCCAATATCTGTGTGATGGCGCTCCTGACTGCCATGATGGCTACGATGAAGACCCAAAATTGTGTACTGCAGGTATGAGTCTTCTGCTTTGATATACATGATGCAGAAGTATACAGGAGTTTGCGAGTTTTAGCACTCTGTTCGCAAATTACCTTCGAGGTTGTATTCGTTGATGTACTGTTTGTACAGATGATTGAAATGTACAAATGAATATGTAAATTTATATATGTATATGCCCAATTGTGTTCGTAAATTAATTTATAGAAAATTTTGTTGTTTTTTTCTATCTTTCAGCTGACATCAGTTTAATTTTATGTTTCAAGTTTTGCATGACGTCATTATTTAGTTTTGTACGAAAGGTAAAAACAACACTTGTTTTGAAACCTAACAGATGGTTCACGTGCATTTTATTTTAAAATTTTCTCTGTTGAACCTTTACAGAAAAACAACGCTAGTTTTTCTTACATTTTACTTTGTATTACATCTGAGGTCACAATTCACAGTAAAGTAAACTTAATATTTTTAATAAAATCTTGTTGAAGCGTGTTCTCAACTATAGAACTAGTGATATTTTATGAAGTATTTTATTTTCATTAGAGTATCTTTAATAAAGGCCTTTTATAAACCCAAATACTGTTAGGTGTGCCTAATAAAAATAAAAATATCAATGGAGTTATCTTAATTGTTTCTGAAGTCAAAATTATTGGTGTACTATAATTATATCACAAAACTTTTCATATTAACATTCATCAAATGTGCAAAACCAGTGGATATCGAGAAGTAACAACCAGCATGATAAATACATTAAACAGACATGTTGCATTATCTTGGATTTCTCATTAATTTTAACAATTCGAGCGCAGCACTCGGTAAATAAATAATACTTTGTTCTCTTGCTACTACATGAGAAGAATGTTTTTAGATGGATTAACCTTATTTGTTAACTTTGAAATATAAAGTTTACAGTCAGATCCTGATAGAATGAATTATTAATAATTTTGCATGCTTTTGTTTTGCCTTACACTGCTAAATTACGAATGTAAATACGTCAACCTCCCCCCCCCCCCCCAAAGCGGATGATTGGCATTCTTGTCTAATTCTGGATACGTATCACTACATTGCAATACAATAATACTATAGATTCTTATACAGATATTTATATTTACAACTTTCTTGTCTGTACAGATGAGAATAGATATTCTAATCAGTTTGTATTACAAATGCTTCTACTTTACTCATCTCTTACTTTCACATGGGAATATGGTTATAAAGTAGAATATCCGTTAATACCGGCATTGATGATATTTTACTTTTCACTCATTGCCACAGATGGAAACTTAATTATAAACTAAAGCGACTATTACTATCAATCATGTTACCTTACAATGCACTCGCTTAGACAGAGAATAATATATTTACTTATAGAATTACAGCAGTTGTTTCTGTTATTAGTGATGCTGCTGTAATATCCTCTAATGTTTACATCTAGAGAGACGATTGTACCTTATAATGGTTGGCTAGTTTGTAATAATTCATTAAAAATGGATAGTATCGTTAAAAGATCCATAAAGTCTAACTTAACGAAGAATAATCCTCTAATGAGTAATATGTGTGATGCTGTATTACCTTGTAAGAATTACAATAATTTTACTCATGCTCTTCTTTACTTGAACCGTTTTCCAGTAAGAAGAGAGTAAAATAGCGTATCAAATACGTTTCATGTATTGTGCGTAGCTACCGAAGAGGCCTTTCATGAGATCAGACGGACTACAACATGCAGAGACTTAGTTAAAAAGCTATTTATATTCGTTTTTATGTAGCATCAAGTCTGTGATGAAACCTAATCAGGCTAGTCATGGTGAGTTAGTTGAGGATAGGGTAATATCACATCACACTAAGCCTGACAATCACATCCTTTACTATTGGACAATACATTCTTCCAAGAAGAAGGCTGTATAGTATAACAGTGTGTGAAACACACTATCTAAGAAAATAAAAATAGAGAGGAAAACTTAATAGTTAAAAGTCTAAAAGAATTAAATACGTTTAATTACACACAAAATAAGTATCTAAATATATATATACATGGATTAAAATTTGAGGCATCCTAGACTGAAATGTAAAAATTGAAGCTTTTATCTAAAGAATAGTTATCGTGTAAATGATTCATATATACATCAGTTGCATTTATCTTTCAGGGTAATAATCGCAGCTGCTTTATAGAATATGATGAAGTGGAACGTTGATCTATTTTCTTTCAATACGTTAATAATAATTAAAAAGGGAATTATTATTGTTATTTTTGCAGGTATACACATTAAAAGTGCTCATTACATATAGTCCTCCAGTGGGTTAGCGTTAAGTTTACAAACTTACAACGCTAGAATCCGGAGTTCAAATCTCCACGGTGGACACAGCAGAATGCCATTGTGGCTTTACTCTACAACACATAAAAACAAGCATTACCCACAAAATTTTATTTTATGAGAGCAAAACTTTACATTATTGTTTGCTAAGTAATCTCATTTTGTTACGTCGGTGTTTTTTTTTCCATTTAATCATTTCGATTAGTAACAATATCACGTAACATATGAAAAGTTTCGCTAGTTAGTCTTAGAATATTGTTTAAAAGTATTTTCTATAAGCGGAATAATGTAGTTACGTATGTTTGTTGAATAAGAAAGAAAAATGCACCTTCATTCTAACATGGCCCAGCATGGCCAGGTGGTTAAGGCACTCGACTCGCAATCTGAGGGTCGCGGGTTCAAATCCCCGTCACACCAAACATGCTCGCCCTTTCAGCCGTGGGGGCGTTATAATGTGACGGTCAATCCCACTATTCGTTGGTAAAAGAGTAGCCCAAGAGTTGGCGGTGGGTGGTGATGACTAGCTGCCTTCCCTCTAGTCTTACACTGCTAAATTAGGGACGGCTAGCGCAGATAGCCCTCGTGTAGCTTTGCGCGAAATTCAAAACAAATAAACAAACATTCTAACACGAACGTGAAGATAGAAATGAACAACATAACGATATTTGTATTAAATACATAGGAATGTTTTAGCATAACTTTATTTAATCAAATCTCACAGTTATTTTCTGCTGGCATGTTGAGATACTGAGTCAACAAATTTTCAGTTATATTATGAATACTCACTAATCAAATTAAATGATTTTATGCTATGCAAAACAACGAAAATCGGCATTTTCTAAGAGCGTCTTTACCAGTTAATGTATTTTGTGGAAAATCAGATCGATCGATTGCTCTTACCGCCTTAATCAACGTTATTTTCAGTATTTAAGAAAGTGAAGTTGTTTAAGCATGAGATGGATGAGTCAGAGTAAGATCACCTATATATATTTCCAAATACGTAAATTAGTTAAACTGTATGAACGTCAGTTTCACTATATTACCATTTTTTGAAAAACATTACGAAAATTATTTAATCTTTTGATGCGAAGCAATGTCCCAAACTTCCCTACCCGAGAAAAGTATCTATCATGTTAATTATTAAAATATGTATAGTGAAAAACATTAGGTGCTCGCTTCTAACATGGCAGCTGATACTATTACTCAGGTATGGAAGGTTTTAGAAATACTCAAGGGGTCGAGGTTGTCATATTGAATATATATATGCGTTTATATACAGTTGCTCGTTGTGAAAACAAAAACAGATTTTTGCAGACAAATCATGTCGAGTGGGATTTTTAAAGCGTGTACTTTTGTTTCAATATTCTTTAAAAACCTATTCAACCTACTGTTCTTTGCTAATAAAACTGTACATGACTTTCTTCAGACAGATTTGCAGAACGTTATGTATAATATTTAAATATTTACACTGTAAATCAAATATTCACATTAAGCAAATTGTACAGCAAATTTTTGTTTTTCAAAAACAGAAAGCTTTTATTATTTTGTCCATTATCACACTTTTGTCGATTATCAAACATGAACGATGGATTTGAATATTACTTTGGAGCCAAATTAGTTGAAAGTCAATGTTGCTCAAGATGTAATCGTACTAATCTGACAAAATATGACTGAGTGAAACACACTTTTGGTGGAAGGTAAGCAGAGGATTCTAGATTTCTGAAAAAAAGCTAATTTCCGATATGGCATTTCTCAGTAGTATAATCCTTTATATGTCGTTACATTGTGCAGGAATTAAATCAAAACTTTGTTTCCTTTTTTTTTAACAGTGAAAATATCTTATTCTAAAATTCATTAATTATTTAAACACTATTAATTAAATTATTTATCCAACGATCGAGTTTCTATATCTTATATGCACGTAACTCTTTTTATTATCCATGCGCGAGAAATTCTGTCACTGACAGTTTCATTTCAGAAATTTACAAACAACCAGGTTTCTCCGCGAAATGAAATCTTACTGACGTTAATGGCAAAGAGTTCGTAAAAAGAGGTTCTGTTTCGTATTCTAGTTTTTGCAATCTTATTATAACTTGTTTACTGGTATTATTCATTAGGAGATGTTCACCGCTCCACACACACACACACACACACATATATATATATGTATATATCTATATATATATATATATATATATGAGTTGTCGCGCCTATAGGAACCACGTTAAAAGTGAATATAGCAAGTGAAAAAGTATGTTTAGTTATATAATTTAAAGCATATCCAGCACCTACCTCGCAAGCCTTGTCACCTAACGACACATCTAGAATGTTTCGAAAATGAGATGCTAATTTTAATGTTGTTGGAACATTTTCATACTTATCAGCTGCCTAACTATTTCTGACATAGATTTAGTAATTAACAAATGAGATGGCGTGGCAGAATTATTCATGAACTGGTAATTACGTCAACGCTTTTGTTGTGCTTCAGGTAACGCAGGTTCCATGGAAACCCCAAAAGGCAAGGAACTCAGTACTCCGTTCCTCGACAATTAAATCATATATATAATATAGCTTCTTTGAAGAATATTTTTCTTGGTGTAGTGTTATAATGTGCATAATTGTGTGCTTCGTAAGAAGTAAGTAAAAAACAGTTCTAGCCAATTTTAATTATAAAATTTGAAAGAGTATTCCAACTTTCTTGTAGAT